GTGAGTCTCCCGGTACAGGCTGAGGCTGGGGGCGGTGGGGGGGGCCGAGCGGGGGCTGGACACGACGACCCCTCTCCCAGACGTGGAGGACGTCGGGCTGCCGGTTCGACCGCCCCTTGAGTTCACATCGTTCTCCGATCCCCCCATCACCCCCTGCACCCCCCCAACCTTGGCCTGCACCACCCCTTCCATTCTGCCCCCCCCACCAGTGGTGGCCTGACGTTTCTCAAAGCACTCGTGGCAGTGAGGCTGCGTGTCCACAGACACGTAGAAGGTGCATCGCGGCGTGGCACAGCGGATCTCGATGAGGGACAGCTGTGAGACAGAAAAGGGGGGGGGTCGCTGAGGCTGGGCGGCCCACGCCTGTTCCTTGTCTTCCTGCCAGCGCTGGTACTCGTGGTTGACCAGCTGCAGGTAGTCCTCCATCAGGTTCATGTCCTCAGGCAGGTTGCCCTCATCCAGTCTGAACACAGACAGAAACACGGAGTAAGTTCTGGAACAAAGATCTGCCCCGGAAAACAGAGGATGAAGAAGAAAAGTAGACGAAGGAGAACGGGACAGATGAAGGAGCAGTGACATCACGCCCCGGTCCTGCAGGTCAACACCAACACACCAACACACCAACACACTCAGAGACAGGACTGGTCGGGCTTGGACCTCGGCCGGTACCTTGCAGCGTTGATGATCCGTAGGACGTCGTAGCCCAGACCTATGACTGGGATCTCGACCAGAACCAAGTAGTCTTTGAGAAGCTTCTCCCTCTGCTGCTGTTCCTTCTCCATCAGGAAATGGACCTTGAGCTCCTCAAAGTCACTGCGTCCTGGATTTATCAGTGGCACGGCTCTGATCTCTGGAAAAAGAAAAAGACAAACCGGACTTGAGGTCTGAGGTCCAAGTCCAGGACTTTTTATTGGTCAGCCAATCAGAGAGCGCGTCTCGTTGTTGTCCTCTCCTACCTGGGCCACTGTCTTTAATGGTGATAAGAGGGGCAAAGTGTTGAGAGTCGTAGCCCAGCACGATGGGGTATTTGTAACACTCTGCTGGAGCCCACTGGAGGGGCAAATAAACCCCCCCCACATTTAAAGGAGAGATGGAGGAGCCAGACTTCATACTCCTGACAACCTGATCTGGTAAAAACAAAAACAAAAAAAAACAACAAAACAGTGAGGTTCCATCTTCCTCTAACACCAGTCTGTGACAGGACAACGTTTACCTGCAATAACGATGATGGGTCTGCGGAGGATGTTGGAGAGGATGAAGATGTGAATGTCCTCCAAAGAGTCAAACTGTAGACCATTACTGCTGGAGACCGGAGACGCCATCTTCACGATCTTCTCCCACTCATCCTCCCAGTTCTTCAACAGAAGAGGAGAAGAAGTCAGCATGACTGTGATAATGGTCCCAACACTGAGCCCACAGACCGGCAGTGGCCCCTAGTGGCCCAGAGTGGACCTGCAGTCACTTCAACAGTCTTGTTTGTGTGACGTTTTATACAGTATGTGTGTGAGTAGAAAAACCACCAGACAGGAAGTGACATCACAATCAAAACCATCGTTATTTTAAGTTTGGGAACATGTCCCGAGGTTAGCATCAGTGTTAGTGTTGAAGTCTGTACATCATCAATCATTTAGAAATGAACAATAATCCCTTATTTTGAGAACCGTCCTTCCAGTGGACACCCACGAGGGGTCACTGTTGTAACAGTCAACAGCCTCGTGTGTAAAATATGTAAAAGTGGTTAAATCATTTGTTAAATTGTTCAGTTTTAAATGCACATGGAGAGGGGTCAGAAAGGTCACCACGTGGATGTGGTGACCCATGATTCAGTTCTTCTTTTTGAAGTTTGTCAAACACGCCTTAAAGTAGACGATTTGTATCAGGAATGGGCCACAACCCCCCCCCCCCCCCCCCCCTCGGGGGGGTGGGGGGGCGCCGGGGGGGGGGGGGGG